CATGGATCACAGAAATCATGGATCACAGATCATGGATCACAGAAATCATGGACCACACAGATCATGGATCACAGAGCATGGATCACAGAAATCATGGATCACAGATCATGGATCACAGAAATCATGGATCACAGAAATGATGGATCACAGATCATGGATCACAGAAATCATGGATCACAGAAATGATGGATCACAGATCATGGATCACAGATCATGGATCACAGAAATCATGGATCACAGAAATCATGGATCACAGAAATGATGGATCACACAGATCATGGATCACAGAAATCATGGATCACAGAAATGATGGATCACAGAGCATTCCCAGCTCATGCTCACACAGCATTCCCAGGTCACAGCTGGCTGCAGCTGGCTGCCAGGGCACACAGGACAGGCTTTCCTGGAGCTGCCATGTGACATCAGGACACCGAGGGCTCCGCTGGGGAGGGAGGGTGAAGACAAATGCCTCAGAAGTGAAAGCCTGTGTTGAGAGAAGGGGTAAAAACTGGTTTAGGAATAGATTTAAAGGCAGAAGTGGTGCAGCAGCTTCAGATGCTGACATGGAGGTTTTTATTGCAATAAGCCCTACATTTACTAAGAGCTGGAGATTTTGCCCAAGGCTTCATAACCTTACAATGTAACATTATTCTTGGTCAGCCACTTCCAAGTTCTTTTTCATTAATTTATGCAAAACTTTCAACACGTCACTGAGGGAGGGAGGAAAGCATTATTGCAAATGCATTATTGCAAGCAGGAATATCTGCTGGATTTCAGAGAGGCATTTGAAGATTTAAATGATGAATCCTGAGAGAAGAAGGGCGAGCCTGGCTGATGCAGCAGTGACAGGCACAGGGCTCTGGCAGAGCTCGCTCCTCTGCACTCCAGTGTGCAAAGTGCAGGATTCGTTCTTTCGTTATTTCTTTATTTCGTTCTTTCTTTATTTCGTTATTTCTTTATTTCTGTTCTCGGCTGGTTCCCGGGCAATGCCAGGGCAATCTGTGCCGTGGAACCATCCAGCCTCTGCCTGCACAGGGGCTCTTCTCTCGCACTGGGGCAGCTGCTGGGATTTGGATGCTGCAGCTCCGCCTCCCATCCCTGCCCCGTCCTCTGCTCACACATTTCCCCCTCACACATCTGGAGGGAGTTTTGTCATGGCCTCACTGATGTCCCTTGTGCCTTTTCCCAGGTGCTTTCAGTCCTGCAGGAGGAGGTCGAGGTGCCCCTTTGGAGGCCTGGGACCATTCACTGAGGGCAGCTGCTCTCAGATCCTTCAGCAGGGCTGCAATGCACAGCAGGGCTGCAATGCACAGCAGGGCAGATGAAAGCCCGCAGGGAGAGACAATCCCCTAAACACCTCATCTGCATTGTTAATAAGCTCATTTCAGCCAGATTAATAAAGGGGTATCTATAATTGTTAGTAACCATGGTGGGCTAAGGTTTTTTTGAGAGACCTTTTTTGTTGTTTTCTTAAATTTCAGGAAGTTGGCAGAAACCAATGAAGACCATTTCAATAAGGATCATTAAGGATTAAGGACCAGAAAAACCTGAATGATTAAAAGTTTGTGTGAAATAAGTGAACAACAAATAACCACCGTGGACTGAAGTCCTTTCCCTCAGGATCAGGCTTCATTAACTGGCACTGCTTGAATAATCATGTTTAAAATAAATTTAGGGGATAGTCTAGCCTTACTTAAAAGTCTGAAAATGACTTAGTGACCTTTCCTTATTTTAAGTTGATGACCTCTATGAAGTTGTTGATAAGGCAGAGTTAAGTAGCACAGCTCAGTTTGTTTGTGCTGCACAGAGCAGGGTCCTGGGCTTTACCCCAGGGCTCCTGGGCACCTCAGGCCTTGCCTGGGTCTCCATTTCTCAATAAAAATGTGAGCAGCTCTTCAGAAAGTGCCACAGGATCCATCTCCTCCCTGGTGCCTCTGTGCTGCAGCTGAGCTGCTCCCATGTGGTGACCAAATGTGGAGTTGGGGTGGCTGTGACTGCTGTGGCTCTGCAGATCCCAGAGGGACAGAAGGGACAGAAGGGACAGCAAACCTGTCTGGGGGGACAGAAGGGACAGCAAACCTGTCTGGGGGGACAGAAGGGACAGAAGGGACAGCCACAGGCAGGCAGCTCCACCCCACATTTATCCCACACTTTCCCAGGCAGCAGGAGAGATCCTTCCAGCCAGGGCACTGCCTGAGCCTCTTGTGCAGCTCACAGATTTCATCGTGTAACTAAAAGAAAAGTGAAATGACAGGCCTCCATTTAGGATTTAGTCTGCTGCATTATTTAAAAATCCCCATTAATTTTGGAAGCTTCTAAGTGTACTCAGTGCTGTGTGAAAAGAACCCAGAATCACGAGAACCTGAGCTAGACTTGGCACGTTTCAAAAACTGTTTGACTCTTTCACAATATGTTTAAAAATCTACTTGCACGTCTTCTAATTAGCAATATCTCATCCTAAGAGAGTAAAGTTTGGGCCTTTTTTTTTTTCCCTCCTAATAATTCTTTTTTAATTCTGTATCATTTTTCCTGGGTTTTAGGGCACGAGCAGGGGCTCCAGCCACATTTCAGTTCGTTGCTGAACCTTCATGCCCAAATGAGTTTTTGAGTCAAACCATCCCCAGGAAAACCCTGCTCACCTTGCTCACGCAGCAGGGAGGATCCAGAGAGGTTTTGGGAGCACTGGACGTGCAGAGGTGAAGCAGAGGAGGAGGAAATCCATCATCACCCTGGGCAGTTGTGGCTGCAGGGACACAGGGGCTCAGTGCAGGGTGTGAGCTTTGCTCAGAGGGAGGGTCTCTAACAGGGGACTGGGACACAGAACTGCAGCCTAAAACTAAGAACAATTCCCCACTCCTAAACAGAGTGGAAATAAATTAGACACAAATTTATTCTGTTTTAAAATGAAATCTGCTTTCCACAGGGGTACCTGGGATCAAATTCAGGTTGCCCTTTGGGAATGGAGCAACTTCACAGTTGTTTCACAAAGACTGATGACATAAAGAGGATCTGGGCAGACACTGCAACAAATCCCAGGCATTTTGCTCCCCTTTTTCCATGAATCTGAATTTGGTTGCTTTAAACTGTGATCTCTTTATGATTGTAGCACAATTCCTTATTCCTCCCAGAGAACTCCTGGTAATGTCATTCATACTGGAATATTTTAGCCATACAACACCACCACGAGAATTACAGGAGGACTCATTGGTTAAAGCAGGGCCCTGCATAGGAGAAAAGCAACATTTTCAGTTCAATTGCTAATAATAATTGCTCTCCAGTATTCTACAGCTGCAAAAGAGATGAGTAAATCTTGGGGTGGAGAGTTCAGCTCTGCCTTTCTGTGAACTGGATTTAAACCTTAAGCCAAACAAAACTGTGAATTGTGAGGTGGTTTTGATTTTATTCTGTAGTCAGCAGCTGGCTCTGAAATATAATCATAAATTGCCCAAGTCTATCAGAGATATGTTAAGAAAACCTCTTAAATGAATCTGGGCCATTTCAAATCTGTAATGAAATTTTAATCCAAACAAGTTTCATAGGCAGCAGATATTGATCTAAACACAATTGATTAAAAAAAAAATTAAAAATTTAAAAATAGGCATTTCAGTCTCAAAAATGAAGTTACCTGCAAAGCTTGAAACATGCAGCAGTGATGAATCAGGAAGTTCTGAGCTGTTCACTCTCGGTGTGGTTTAAAAAGCTCAGGTTGGCATCAGCCATCGTCTCTCATTTCAATGCACAAGGGAAAACTTTCAGGAGGTAACTGGGATTGAGGGCCAGCCTAAGTGCAGCTGTTCCTGGAACAAACAAAATAAAAATCTACACCCGTACTCTGGAAACCTTTGTGACATGATCTTACAGAAAAGCTGGTCAGACACTGTTTGTCACTTGTGAATGTTTTCCTGAGTGACAACAAAGTGTCCCTCCAGTGCCAGCGTTTCATTCCATTCCTAAGCGTGACTGCAGGTAAGTTTAATGGGACACAAACTGGGAACCTGCAGAGGGTGGCAATCCAAAGTGTAAATCCCCAAAATCCGTATTACAAAGATCTCTTACAGAATGCCGTCGGTAAGGGTGGTGAAGCCGTTCCTGGCTCCAGCCCCTCGCATTCGGCTCCCCCTGGCTCAGCTGAGTCTCCCGGGAGCCCAAAGGTCTCTGAGAACGCTCACGGTGACATTGGGGACAGCGGGGGGACTTCAGCCGCCTCCTTCCTGGGCCCATTCGCTCCTCGGTATTTTCGGCTCCAGGCACCTGCCAAGAGCAAATTCCCAGACTTTGTCCGTGCCTGAGCAAATATTGTGGGAGGCAGCTTTGGGACAGGGGACAGACACAGACACAGACACGGGCAGTGCCAGGGCAGGGCACGGCTGAGGGTGACACCAGCACGGCTGTGACATATTTATTTT